CATATCTACAAAAATTTATAAGTACCTTTTTCTTTTCAAAAGAAAAAATTGAGAGAAAATATGTCAGAATTTTTCACATTGGTCCCCAATTTATGATTTGGTCTACTTAGGATCTGTTTGACTCCAAGAATACTTAGAGAAAAATTTGACGAAAATTTGGAAAATGGTGTTTGGTTATATAATTTGGCAAATATATTTGCCAAGTATTTCAAGTTCCCGAGTACTAAAAAAAATTAGTATTTAGGCCAAGTTCTAATAATTGGAAAATTTTAAAAATTCAAAAATTACCCAATTTTTTATATTTTATAAAAAATACCTATTATTTATTAATTCCAACTAATATTTGTTACTACCTCCTCCGAAAAAGTTTGAGTTCTAATTTAAGTGACAAAACTGAGAAAAAATAATAATTTGTGTTTAATGAATTATAATTATAACTGAATCAGTGACAAGTTTGAGTATGCAATTAATGTATTGTCTTGCTTATATTGTTATTTTGTTATTGTTGATGGTTTCAATTACATTATAAGGTTATTTTTTAATGGAATATATTCATTATAAAATGATAATACAAATTTATAGGTATTTTAATAGTTTTTAGAACTTATGAGTATAAATCATATTTTTTGAAATAGTCAAATATTCTTGGAAAAATTTGAGGCCAAACACATGGTGTAATTTCACCGAAAAACTTGGCCCAAATATTATTTTCCAAGAATATTTAGAAACTTGGGACCAAACACTAGCTTATATTATTTTGTATGTACTATCTTTATTTTATAGGCTAATTTTTTGGGATTGAATTAGACATATTTCCATTTAAAATTCACAAATATTTTGAAAATAGCTATTATTGTAGAGTTTCAAATTCTAAAGTGAAACTCCAAGTGGCCATTGAGTGTTTATGTTATACTGTTCATGCTCCAATTAGCAAGCCTAGTTATGCGAGGAGTTTAAGATTTTCCACATTGATTTCAATAGGTGATTTGGTCTTTTTATATAGTCTTAAATAATTCTCACTTAATGATCTAACTTTTGAGATCAAGTTGATCCCAAAATCATTTCTTATCAGTTGATCACAAAGATCCTGCTATGCACAGTATCTAAAGATGGGCTAGACTACATAATTAAATGTGGGCTTGGAGCCCATTTATTATAAAATAATGGAAAAAATTAGCTAACTAGTCAATATTTCTAACATAATTATTAAAAACATCTATAGTTTAAAATAATTGTTAAAAATGTCAATATTTTAGCAAATAAAGTATATCCTAATATAATTTATTTACCTTCTTTTTATTTCTCAACTTGGACCCACATTTGACTTCATAATCGTTGAAAAAGAAGAAAAAAAGACTTCATTGTTGACACCCAATTTTGGCCCTCCAATATATAAATTAATCATCGAGCTTTTTCAATTTTCAAACGATTTTAAGATAATTAGTTTTACAAAATTTCAAAATAAAATAAACAAATAAAATAATATATATATATATATATAGTTAGCAAGTTACTTTAGATAGTTTGTCCTTTTTTATAATTTTTTAAATAATATATATGTTTTACGTAATTATGTATATAATTAGTGTATTTTATGAACATTTCGAAAATCATCTCAAAAAGATTTTAAATTTTTAGTAAGTTTTTTATTAAATTAGTTTAGTATAAATTATAGTTATAATTTCGAGTTATTTAAATTAGTTAGTTTATAATTAAGTTAATTATTTTATTTCGTCAAAATTAAGGAGCTCATTAATTAATTATATTAATTCGTCCTATTTAAGTTTTAGCCGAATTTGCTAATTAAATATCAATTTGGCTAATTTCTTAATTCCCATTTAGCCATTTTTCCTATTGCAAATCTAACCCAATTTAAATCCTTTTTAGACTTAAGTTTTGGGCCTTTTTCAGCCGGCCCAGTTCCAATTCAATACCTTCCTTCAGCAGCCCACTCTTAACCAACCAAAATTCAAGCCCACTAATTTAATACCAAACAAACCCATTCCAACAATACAATACATACAACACCAAACCAACCCAATCCCTGACCCGGCCCCATCCCCTTATTCCCTTTCAATTTCAATACATCAACAGCAGAACAGACGTACAACAGTATCAAACCGACCCCTGCGTCTTTTTCTTCCCAAACAACTAGCAAGCAACGTTCAAATCCCAGCAAATCCGGAAAGCAGCAGGTGTCTGCCACGCCCATACTCATCCCAGTCCCCTCATCCCCTTTTCAAGGATTTCTGAATCTCTCCACTGTTGATTGGAAAAGAGCAATTCAAAATTCAAATTACAACCGTTTCCCCCAAATTTCCATCTATATATTCATCTCTTTGGGTCGCAACTAAGGGGGAGAGAAGGAAGCACAATAATTTCTTACTAAATATTCAAGAATAGGTTTATATTTTCCCTCTCGTTTGCCCCCTAACTGGAATTTTCCAAAACTCATCGGAGATTTATTTGTGGTGGTGTATAGCTTCACAGTCAAGCTCGTAGTCTCAGCGCGCTGCCCGGAAAAAGGTAATACCCCTCCCTCTATTTCCGTTTTAGAAGTCATGTAGTTGGTTTGTTTCTCCTTGCTCAACTCCCTCTATTTCCGTTTTAGAAGTCATGTAGTTTGTTTGTTTCTCCTTGGTCGTTTCTCACTCAGTTTTGAGTTTTTACCTTTGTTGTATGTTAAGCTTGTCTGCAATCCTCGACTTTGATATATAGTTTGTTGCTGATCTTTTATGATATTTAGCTATTAACTTTAAGAATGTGAAATATTCATGTACTGACTCTTCTTGGTTCCTTCGATATTAATCAATAGGAATTTATATATCCAGTTGTTCTTTAGCTTTCATTTTAAAATAGTTTGAGAGCTGTCATATTGCTAATATATCAATCATCTATCCGAGAAGCATTTTAGTTTGTTTTTGTTAGGATTTGTTGCCGAGTTTTTTTTCATGATCTAAGTTCATATTTGTTCACCGATTTGTTTCCTTGTTCAAGTTGGCTTAAAGTCTTGACCATGTCTAACTTTGATGATTTTGCCTGCTCATTGTCAAGATTATCAATCTTCTTGTTTATCATCAGTTTATTTGCGTAAGTGAAACTTTATCGATTTGAGCCGATCTTCTAATATAGTTTCATGTTTTATTCTTTTCTAAATTAACTCGGGTTGCTTTCATGCTTATGTGATCATTTACGCCATTGTGGATTTGTCCAGAAAGCTCTAAAAATGTTTATTGATTTTCCTTATTTTGGAAATGTTTGGCATAATCATTTTTCTTCATCGTGAATTTGTCTATATGAGCCGGCTAACTCTAAATACGGAATATCTATTCGACACTTCCTCCCCCCTGACATCTTCTTTGGAGAATAATATTATCTTTTTTCAAGTCTTTATTTGATTAGCTATAGATTGACAGTGTTCCAATAATGTTAATTGTCTGCCATGTATTTTGGAGGTTTATCTACCTAAGTTTAAAATTTTATCTTTCTTATTTTATCCTATTTGGTCTTAGTTTGGCATTAAGAGATCTATTGATTTTCATATTAATGTTATGGGTTTATATCCGGATTTGAGAAATCTATTTGTGATATATGGAATGAGTGATAACGACCATGTAATTGCTTTCAACTAAGTTGATTTTATGAGTTGCAACAACCTGCGTTTTTTCTCATCTTTAGCCCGCATTATACATATGCTAATCCTTATTCTTTGTTTTCATTGCATGAATTGTCAATCCGAGTTCACTTTGGACTCATCTCTTGCATATCCTTGAGTCGTTCCGAGTCATTCTCATATTTGCGGTGAAAGAGAAGCTGAAACAGGCTGTATACATATTGTATACAGCATTATACACTCATTATACAACGAATTACAGGTCAAAAACGTAGGAATACAGGGCTGGAGCAAAATACATGTATTCGGAAGCAAGAAATACATGAAAAGGGCTGATATACATGCCGATATACACTGATATACATCAGTGTATACCAAAAACGGGAATTGTGTTAAACTCCAAAAACAACAACGAAATTGGCCCAAAAGGGGGCCCAAATTCAAAATTTCTCCCTTACTCGCTAATTATTTAATTGTGATTATTTATTGTTTGTTGTGTAACTCTAACTTTATAATCGTAAATCAACTTAGTTGGATCCCCCAAAAGACGAGCTATTTCTCTGTGTTGTTTTGTTTCTAACAAATCTCATTTTATCAATTTTTGTATTATCATTTATAATCTTTAATCAAAACTTTCTTTTTTTTTTCTTTTTAGTTTAAAATAGTTTTTTCATAAACCAAAAACGACTCAAACAAAAACCAACTCATTTAGTTTTCGTTAAAATTCTAAGTACTTGTCTCTAATTCAATTGTTTCAATCAAGGTCCCATTTTCTTAAAAAATAAATTGCTATTTGTTTAACTATTTTCTCAAAACTAATCTAACAATGTTAATTATTATTATAAAATACTTATTTAGTCATTTTCTCAAGAAGGTTAGCCAAAACTTTTATTCTTCAATTAATTTAAAATGATTTTCATGCTTTAATGTATTAAATAGGTTTAAGTTATTTTAAAATGAATTATATAAATTTTAATTAACCTAGTTTAATTAATATTCTAACCATTTATCTTTCAAGTCAAATAATTCATTTTGAATCATTTTCTCCAAAAAATCAAAATAAAATGTGTCATTTAATTATTTTTTCAAAGTTAATCAAAATATTGTAAGTCATTATTTTATGTTAAATCATTATTTTCCCTAAAATAGTCAAATACATTTTAGTCAAGTCGCAGGTCAACCGCATGTTAGCGGACACTTAGAATGCTTAAACCCTTCTCGAAGTGTAAATTGAACCCCGAACCCTCTTTGGTATTTTCAAATGATTTTTTCTGTTTAAATCTTTGAAAAATTATAAGTTTTCTTGATTTCTTTAAAAAAATTAAGTGGCGACTCTTTCTAAGTATTTCTTTTAGTGTTTTATACTTAGAACAAAAAAAAAGTGATTTTTCTAAAGGTTAGTTAAATTACGACACAACATTCATTACCCACTTTTCTCTCTCTCAATTTTTTACCCACATTCTCTCCTTTCCCTCTTTCACGATTTTTATCCATACTCCCTCACCTCAATTAACTTTCCTTGTTAATATGAAATTCCTCCATTTTCCCAAGAAATCTCAGTAATTATTCAAAAGATTTTCAACTTTTGATACATGTAAATACATTGTCATGACGTATTGTTTTTTTTATATATATTCTATTGTTCTATGTTTTCATCTAAAACTATTTAGATTATTGTGTGTTTTTGTATTTTTCAATCTCCCCATTTTCAGTTAGGATAATAGTTCTTATTTTCTGTTGAATAATAGTTCTAGTAAGCCTTGAATGAGCTCCTCAAAAGCTTGATGCAAATAAACAAAATTTTGTTCTCTGTCTTCAAACTATATTTTGTATCATACTTGCTAGTGAAAGATTATCTATTGTTGCAGGTTAATTCGTTCTAATAGTTTTGTCAGTTCATAGAAATTAAACTCGTATGTAAATTGTTCATCTTTTCACCTTAACATTGTATTGATTTGATAAAGCCCAAGCAGAGACAAATTAAAATTTTGAGTTTATGAGTTCTGAATTCTCAAAAAAATAACTTATTGATTTTTGTTAAATTATTTATATATATATATGAAGTACATCTTTTAACACAAATACCGAGTTTGTGCCAAAACGCCTAGATTTTAGTGAATCCATAAGCAGAACTGTAGCTCCGCCCCTAAGCCAACCCTCCCTCTTTTTCCTCACAAAATTTGATCAGTTGATAAGAAGCTATAGATGAACATATCTCTAATTTCACCTTTATTAAAACCATACTTTCTTAAAAATCCTTCTTTTTTGAAACCAACTTTTTCTAACACCTTTTGTGACCCTATATTTTGAGGTTCCACCAATGCTTCTACCCTGACCAAATTAGGAAAATCATTGAACACAATTGGTATAGCCATTTTTAATGCCTTAGTAACAATTCCTTGTCCCCAATAATCAGAACCAATTGCATATCCAATGTGAGCTCTATGATTTTGATCATCACTCCCTGATTCTGGCCTTACTGATACGTATCCGATTGAACGATCATCCAAACAAATGGATCGACGCCATGGATGTGGAATAACAACTTGTTGGATGTAATTTCTTGCTGCTTCAATTGATGTTATTGTGTTCCATCTTAGATAATATGTAACGTTTTCGTCGTTAGCCCATGTAAAGAGGTTGTTAGCATCAGAAATGTTGAATGGCCTTAGAGAGATTCTTGTGTTGTCCATTTGATTAAACTTGTTCTAGCTATGATGATCTCTCCTGTGTTGTTTACTCTGTTTATTTTGAATTTGTACAAGTCTTAGTTGAGTGAGTTTTGGACCATAATATATAACTATATAAGGCATGTGATGATGTCCAGTGGCATACGCATGGTGTCAGTATTTAAAAATAAATAATTAATATCACGACATTATATTAATAAAAACTATTTAAAGCGTATTGAGAAAGACTTAACAAGTAAACTACAACTACAACTTATTATTGTGTCCAATTCTGTCTTATACAAGTAATTAAATTTCTATAATAGGATACAAATTGTATTTTAGTTCATCTGGTTATCCTAATTTAACTAGGAATTGGAGATCCACCGAGTAAACCAACAATCCAAGAAAACTCACTTGTTCAAGTTGTTTCATTAATGTTATTTATATTATACATAATACGTACTAAAAAATCTTAATGATAGTGTCGGTCGATATCCTTGACATAAGACGGGTCCGCCTTGATGATATCAATGTGATTATGTGGAAAATAAGTAAAGTATTTATTTATTTTTTGGTGTCAAGTAAGTAAGTAAAAATAATAATATTTTGAGTACATTTATATGTAAGTAAAATATTATGAATTCTTAAACTGTTTAGTTTAAGGTGAAGAACGAATAAACAGTTAGATGCATCATGCATTGAGTTCTCACTATGTATGAGGTTCTTACCTTGTATTTTTATAAAAAGTTATTTTTATGTTAAATATATAATCTCCTAATTATATGACAATAATTTTGTCAATTAAATTTTCCAGCGTTGACCAGAAAATAACATCCTAATTTTTAAGCACTTGTGATGGATTTTCGAAGAAAAAGTTGGAAAGTAGTCAAGTGAGGCGGCTATGGAGATTATTGCTCTCTTTTATTGGCTGCAAATGGCTCGTGATAGTTCCATTCCTTGGTGACCAAGTCATAAAAACAGCAAGTATCTGGTTGACTTCATTTTTAAATTTATATGGTGTAGAATTCATTTAAGGCATAAAATATAGATACATATTTTAATTTATGATAAATAAATACTTTAATTTTAAGAAAAACACATTTATATAGTATATTTTAATTTGTTTTTGTTGCGCCTCATTGATACTCGATTTCGACGTGATATAAAAAGTTAAAAAGTATCCAGATATAAGTTAGAATGTTTAACCGGACGGTACATACAAGTTCATCAGGGTTACATCCTTAATAGTGTGTAATAATCGGTTGAAGTCAAACTAAGATGTCTATTTATAAATTATGTCTTCATTAAAAAGAAAACTGCTCCTATCAAGAATTCGAGTTTGTTTCATTGGCATGGCTCGAACCCGATCACAACCTCCGAAACCTCTGATTAAGAGTGAAACATAAACTTTTTGTTTTTGTGATGCTTTACACGGTTTCTAGGCCAAAGAAAGTTCCAGAAGGTTTCTTATCTGACTCCTCCATTTTCAATGGTCAAATTAATTCCAAGATTATTAATAATATAAAAAGGCCACATCTCCATGATCTAGAAACTATGCAATCTAGGAAAACCTCAAAAAAAAAAAAAATTAATTCTCTTTAGCTTCAAATATTTTCATATTTTTTTTTCTATTTCGAGGCAATGGAATCTGATTCATCTTCTAATCTTGAGAATTTGAAATTGAGTAACAAATTAGAAGATGACATAATAACTCTGAGGTTACTAGAGCTAACAGATGTTGATGATTTTATGGAATGGCTCGGTGATGACAACGTTAGTAAATTCTGTTCATGGGACACTTTCAAATCCAAAGAAGATGCAATATCATACGTAGTTGATGTTGCAATTCCACATCCATGGTTCAAAGCAATTTGCTTAAATGGCAAACCAATTGGTACAATTTCAGTTTCACCTTTTTATGGTACTAATAAATGTAGAGGTGAACTTGGTTATGTGATAGCATCAAAGTATTGGGGCAAAGGGATTGCTACCAAAGCAGTGAAGATGGCGGTGTCCGCCATCTTCGTAGAGTGGCCTCACTTAGAGAGACTTGAAGCTGTGGTGGATGTTGATAATCCAGGATCACAAAGGGTGTTGGAAAAAGTTGGTTTTAATAAAGAAGGTGTTTTGAGGAAGTATTATTTACTTAAAGGGAAAACAAAAGATATTGTTATGTTTAGTATTTTATCTAGTGATCAATAAGTTACCAAAAGAAAAAAGAAGGAAAATTCATGGACCGGCCCTATCATTTGTACCCATAGGAATTACGAGATCAACCTAAGGATGTCTTTGGCATGCAGTGGTTACGGACCGACCATAGAAACCTATTAGCTATTTTATGTAAGTAAGTTTGTAAAATTTTAATTAATTAATTAATTTCTTATCAAGCATAAGAATGTTTTGAGTGTGTTGAGAAATTAAATATTTCTTGAATGTTGAGGAGTCCATTTTTAGTTTTTAGCTATGATTTCCTCTTATTGACTCTGTTATCAGAAAGCTAGTGATTGATTTGTGTATTTTTAGGTTAGTTTTAATATTTAAAATAATTTATATAGCTATGTTTTTTCTCTTTTTATTACTTTCTCTGTCTCAATTTATGTGGCGTAAAACAATATAACCACTCTTCCTTCACCATCTTCGATTTCTATTTCTCCTATCAATCCGGTCACCTTGAGAAAATCTACCAAGACCCCTCCATACTTAGAAGGTTACATTCTAACTCTGATTTCTGATTTACAGAACCTTCCGAAATTTTCAAACATGAACTATGTGAAGAACTTCTATAGTACTCTTTAACATCATGAAATTATTGGAATATACTCCCTCCGTCCAACAAAATTTGTTCACTATTAACTTGACACACACCATAAGAAACAATAAATAATAAGGATATAATATTATTATAGTACCCTTTGAATATATTAAATTTAATGTTTTGAAAAATATATTAGATATTGAATAGTATTTAATAGCAAGAACAAAATAGACATACGAGGGTAAATTATTTCTTGATTTTTCAAACTGGACAACTATTTTTAGTATAATGAACAAGTAAAGATGGACGGATATAGTAGTATTCCTACACCCCAATGTAAGTGTCTTACTTTCTATTTCCGATTATCCAAGAAAAAAAATGTCTCTTTTTATATTTAGTAAATTTTTCAATTTAAATATTCTATCCGACAGTAAGATTCAAATTTTTTCTATATTTCTTAAACTTTGTGTCTAGTCAAACTAAGACATTTGAATTGAAAGGTAAAAGAGTAATAGATAGATATTGAACTAAAAACAACATCTTGATTAATTTAGTACTTTTGATGGATTCTCCAAGAAAAGCTGTACAGTCAGACAATGCAAGTTTATGTTTTTTTTTGGTTGTTGTTTGCATATGACCCATTATAAGAACAATAAAGACCTATCAATTTCCTCGAAACATTATTTATCCTTCATGTTATTAGGTTAATATAATGTTTCAGCTTTGTCATGTTTCACTTCCCTAATCTTACTCGTCTTAACGAAGAGTTGCCAATGAAATTCGATAGGATATTATTATTCTACACAATCTAAGTGATAGTTGATTATCTTAACTGGTCTCCTACGTGAAACAAGTTTTCTAACGTGTTTCAATAAAACAGTAATAAAAATACACCGTTTTAAAGTTGTAAAAACAACTATGGGTAAAAACACCTCTCAACAGGAAAGACTCCTCTTTTTATCCGAACTGTTTCAATAATAATTTAAAGTTGGAGTAGGAAATCCTAAATTGTTTAAGATTTATATAATTAATACATAATTAAAATTTATTTGTCCTAGTTCACATAAAATAGATTTTCTAGTCCTGGCTTTAATTTAGTTCTTATTATCATAAATAGGAATGCTAGTTATTCTTCTATATACAGAAATATATAGAGAACTTGAAGTAACATTCAAGAACTTACGAGACGAACTCTGCTTATACTTTGTGCTATAACTAGCTGTTGCATCTAAGCTTGAGCAAAAAAGAAGATGAAGAATGAATCAGACATAATAAGTCTCCGGTTATTGGATCAAACAGATGTTGTTGATGATTTTATGGAATGGTCTTTGGATGAAAACGTTAGTAATTTCTTTACTCGGGGAACTTTCTTAACCAAAAAAGACGCAAAGAGATACATTACTAAATTTATTGTAACACATCCATGGTTCAGAGCAATTTGCTTAAATGGCAAGCCAATTGGTTATATTTGTGTATCACCTGATGTGGGAAGTGATAGATTCAAGGGTGAAATTGGATATGTGTTATCATCAAAGTACTGGGGCAAAGGGATCGCCACCAAGGCTGTGAAGATGGTGGCGGCCACCATCTTCGTAGAATGGCCACACTTGGTCAGGCTTGAGGGTATGGTGAATATTGATAACATAAGATCACAAAGGGTGTTGGAGAAGGCTGGTTTTACAAGGGAAGGTGTTTTGAGGAAATATTATATTTTTAAAAGGAAACTAAGTGATCTTGTTATGTTTAGTCTTTTATCTACTGATCAACTTACTTGAGCCGAGGTCTATTTACCTTCATGTCTAAATAGGATTTATAGTCAAAATTTTATAGGGTATGAATAGGTTTTCTAGTATCTAACTAAAATAAGTATTGTATTATGGAAAATTATGAATAAATTATCTTTTTTTCCATTCACAATTAATTTTCATGTATCAGTAGAAATTTCATCTATCATATTCTTCAATGGAATCTGAAGAATTGCCAATGAAGATATTTTATAAAATATAACTTTCAGGGTTCTGACTTGTGTCTTTCGGCAACAACCTAGGTAGAGGTAAGGTTTGCATACACTGTACCCTCCACAGATTCCATTGGACTTGACGTTGTTGTTATTATGGGATGGAGACATGGTAAAGATTCCCTAAATAAGATCTCAAAGAATGAATGATTTAAAGAATTTCTACCATAGTGTTGAATTTTTTCAAACTTGATGGCTTTATTGTAATGCAATAGATGTTGTTCTGAAAACATCTTAGTTACAATTTAGAACTTGATAAATTCTCAAAGAAAAGTTGGATAGTATTGGCTTATTGCTTGAGGCAGCTAATTAAGTACACTCTTTGGAATCTCTTTGTTTGGTACGTTGATTTTAAACTAACGATATGTAGAATTTACCAAAGTGTCATTTATTTTTATGATCTTAAACATGCCACTACTAATAAAAGAGACATTTAGGGTGTGTTTGGTATGAAGGAAAATGTTTTCCTAGAAAATAAGTTGATTTTTGACTTATTTTCTCATGTTTGGTTGGTGAGTAGAAAATATTTTCCAGAAAAGATTTTTAGTGTTTGATTTATGAATGAAAAATATTTTTGAGAAATATCTTTTATTTTAACTAGAGTAGAAAATAATTTTTGAAATTGAAAATATTTTTTAAAAACAAACTTAAATTTTTTTT